CGGCCCGGAGCTGGCCTGGAACTGCGGATGGCAGCAGGGAAAGCACCTGTCTCCGGAGACCCCGAATTGCTGTCTCCCCTGGAGAGCCACCACGGAGGACTCCATTCTCCTGCCCTTTGGGTTGGGAGAGCCTTTGGGTTCCCTCAGCTCTGCGGAGAGAGACCGTGCGCGGGGGCCACCCGCTGCCACGGAAGCCCCGCGCCTCCACATTAAAGGTTTCCATTCTCACCTCTGCTAATCGGTTGCTTTCCTTTCCCTCCACACACCCTTAAGAGCTGTGCCTCCTGACGAAGAAACAAGGTCAACAGTCTGAAAACGCTCTGGAGCCATTACACGGCAGGCACCCAGCCACCTCGCTGCAGCCCTTTCAACCCTGCTGCTTCCAGCCAGGCAGAGGTACTCAGGTACTGCAATGCCGGGGACTACAGGAGCATCTGGAGGCATCAGCAACGTTTGCGTTTCACAGCAGTGGAAAACAAGCAGCCGAACGCTTGGTCTTGTTCGACAGTGAGCCCTCAAAGGTGGCCCGGGCCAGCTGATGAGTTTGTAGCCAAGGCACGGGCCTGCAGCATAAGGTGCTATTTCTGGCTTTTCCACAGAGCTCCTTCTGACCTTTGCCAATCTCTTTGTGCCTTCCCTTCCTTTCTGTTACTGAACTACAATCAAACCTTCCTCCTCAGGACAGGGAAGTTCCCTGCTTTTAAAATGCTCTGAAATCACATGGAAACCACTGAACACATAACAAGTGTTTCTGCGCCAGGAAGCTGGATGTGTTTGATGAATCACTTGTCGGGGCAGCGCTGGCTGGAGCAGCGGACCTTCCCTTCCACTCCCAGATCTTTCCATCTGGCAGTGCTCTCTGAGGCTGCTACAGGCACTTTGTGTGACAAGCAGGCTCAAGGTGGGGATCCAACCCAACTTTTGCCCTTTTCTTACTAGGTCACGCGCACTTAAACCCTTTACGGCCAGGCCGCCTGCTGCATCCCGTCCACAACACAGCCACAAAAACCCAGCTGCACCAGCATGACAGAGGGGTAATGAGGGAAACGTCAATGAAGCAGCACCACCACTGAACATCAAACCATAAGCCTTAGCACTTGTGTGTGATTCCCGCTTTAACAATACGATTTAACACTACAGGAAATTTAGTTTAAGAACGTCAGATTCAAAAAACTGCAGCTAGGTTGTAAAAAAAAAAAACAAACAACAAACCTTTGTGTGTTAGTCCTGACCAACATCACCAGCTAAGCTGTCTGCTGTACGGCGTTCTGCTCCTTGTCTGCACAGAGCTCAGTTACTGCATTCCTTATGCTCTCCAGTTACTCTCTGTGAAGACAAGGCTAACTGGAGTAAGCAAGAATTTTTAATAACAGTTATTGAATCAGGCCTTTGTAATAGCTCTTCATAACAGATTTTATGGGACAAATTCCATTCAGTCAGAAACTGCAGGGCCACACATGCATCCAGAGGCACAGTCTGTCCAAAACAGTTTGCAGAGGGCTGCCAACCTGTACAATTAATTTCTTTTAGCTCATTTCATGACACTAATACTTCTATGCCATCTTGCACAGAAGGCACCTCCTCCTGTACACACTCATCCAAGAACTGCAGGCTGGGCAGTAATCTCCGTGGAAGCAAATCTCAGACCTTCCCAACTCTCTCTCTCCTGTTATATAACAAGATAAATTTGCACTTCTCATTACAGCCAGCCAAGTTCCAGCAAACAATCTGAGTTTCTAGTCCACACAAGGACAATGTGGAATCTGGGAGAAATGCAAAAACCTTCATATTAATGGTAACGATCAAAGTCTTTTCCACGACTGACATCTAAGCATAATTTTTTCTCTTTCATCTCTAGCTTTCTCCAGGACGAGGGAAGATTTACACCTGGCAGTTTCACAGAGTTAGGTTTAATAGGATGCCAGGTGGCAGCTGTCAAAGGCAGACTCAATTGCTCTTTCTGCTGTTTGGGAATGGGTTTGCTCTTCTTGCTACCCTTTGAGAGATTAAACCTGACATTACTTCCTAGGACTCGATTCTAAAGTGACTACCCAAACTATAAGTAAGCTAACAGCTCTGCAACTACACCCTCACATAGTTTACATGTATAAGTCTGTAGGTATATACACATACATGTGCCACAACACACCCACACATCCACAAACACTTCACAGGAGAATACATACCCTATTTTTAGGAACAAGGGACATTAAGCATCCTTCCTAAACTCAGCGTGAAGCAATTTCAGCTGAGAGCGGGCACCTTTCTGCTGTTTACTTTTTTCTCTCCTGTCTGTCAACTGCTCTTTCTTGTTTGTTTGTTCTACTTTTTCACCTGTGGAAAAATTCAAAGTGTAC